TGCCCAGAATGAAAAGGGCATTGGCCATCTTTGACTGGCACAGGACGTGTTAGTGTCATAAAAGGCAGAAATTGAAAGGGCTGACAGCAAACACCTCAGTTTGCCCTTCAGAAATTTAAGTAGGCATGCATGAGCTGGACTGCAAACTCTGGCCTCTGACCTTAACACTACTGATCTTGCATAAAACTCTATGCTCAGATCAGGAGTGAATTTCCTTATTATTGGCTTAAAAGAAACACTGAATGGAGATACCTCCAAAATTTTGCATGCCTGAAATTTCGTTTCCAGCAAAATATAGTGATGTCACAGAAGTTTTACTTGAGTGAGACTTGGTTTTATAAAAAGAAAAAGAAAATGCTGATTAAGAAAAAAAAAAAAAAAAAAAAAAAACACTCACAAACCCACAGAGGTGAAAAAAACCAGAAAAGTTCCTGAACTCAGCGGAAGAACTTTGCCTGTTTTTGCAGTGCTCCATGCGTGGCATTAGCACTGTGCCTGACAAAGGGGTGCTTGCTGGTTTTATGATGCATACCAAATGAGAACGTACAGCCCAGGGCACTCATAAGTATATGCCTTGCCATGAAAATTCTGCATCTTAATATTGCCAAGACTTTGCTCTGGGGTTTCATGCAAAATTAGTTTTTAAGGGCAGTTTAGTAACTTATTGAGATCATCAAGAAGTATTACTTTGTTTTGAAGTGTGAGAACAGCCATAGGCAAGAGTAATTCATTTTAGCACAACTTACTTAGCAGCCATATGCCTGGGCTTCAATCTAAACTTTAATCAGATTCTAACATTAATTTGCACTAACATCAGTTATAGCCATTCTGCTTTCACATTTAATTCTACCATTTTAATTCATTGATAAGCAGACCTTCCTTTCTTAGGGTTTATTGTTCTGCTGCTGCTTTTTAAAATTGCATGTCTTATATAAGCAGGTTAGTCTTACTTTTGAAATAAGAAATCAAATTCAGTTCAAATAATCTCCAAATGTGTTTCCCGAATGTCTTGTAAGCAATGAGCTTTATGTCACCAGGCAAGCTGGTTAAAGAGAATCGGAAGGGAAACTCATCATCTCCAAGGCTTGGGGATTTCACTGGGTCCTGCTACTAACACAGAAATAAAATGAGTCAGTTAAATCACGATCTGGGCATCATTTATATCCTCATCATTGGAAGGCCAAAGAGAGAAAACCTATTAGGAAAAAGGAAATAAGTGGCCTGTCTTGGGTACAAGCTAATAAAGGTGGAAAACAACATGCCAACAAGGCACTCTATTCATATCAGCTGCACAAGAGGACAGTCTGCCCCTAACATGGTTCCAGGTCCAAACCCAGTCTGGTATTTGCAGTCAACATTTGGCAACTCTCTAAAATGTGTATATGTACACATACATATACACACCTGGAAAAAATATATACATACACACATATACTTGGAATATATATACACATACCTGAAATGCTTAGTCAAAGGCAGAAGAAAAGACCAAGCTAGCAAGTTAATGCTAACTGAAAACCTGGCCCTAAATATCACAGTTGTACTATAATATAATAATGTTTCGGTTGGATTACTTCATTTATTCACTTTTCTTGCTGAATGTTACCATCTTAACATTAACAATAAAGCCTTTCCAAGCAGATAAGAGTTATAGCAAAATATCTGACCCTATTTGGCACATGCACTTTGACAAAATGATTTGTGAATATAGTAGAATAGCCAGGAAAAAAACTCTTCAGAATTTACATGGATTTGCCCAGTCATTTCAAAACCACTCCAAGAATAATGTGCCTTATCTACTCAGTTTGAAAGTTAACAGCTGATTAAAAGTCACASTTAACCACTTCTCGGGCACACAATTTGCAGAGTTCAACAAGATCTTTCTATGAGGCATGTAATGGTATCTGACCAAAAGGAACAACCATTCCGACTTTTTATACAGAACTGCATATAAAATAGGTGCGTGACTCCTTATAATAAAAGCTCACAAATCAATAGGATAAATACAATTTATTAGAGGCTTTAAATATCCTACACAGTGTTATATATCATTTATATCTCCTGCATTACATTGCTCTATGTTAAAGGACTGTGATAACACGGCTATAACTTAAGCAGCGAAGAACATTCATTCAGAGATTGGATGTCTATAATCATCCAGTATGAAATGAAGTTGGGAATCTGATCTGAGAGGCAGAAGGTGGAAATAGAGCAGATAAATCAATATGTTTGTAGTACCTCTAGCTGGTTGTCAGTTGCAGGATCCAAGTTTCAATTTGGATGAGCCGTGGTCAGTGTCATAAATATTGCTCCAGGCAACGTATAATCTTCTGTTCCTCATTGAAAACCTACTTACCTTATTGGAACAAGAGAACTATTGGAGTGAAAAAACACTGAGCTGGATAAATGTTCTGCAAGTGCAGATAAAGCTAAGAACCGATTCAGTGTTTGGTATCAAACTGTAATTGTTTCAGCTTGTTTTATTTATTTATTCCTCTCTCATAGCCATAAGTGGGAATAGAAACAATAAAGTTGAGAGAAAATGTCACATTATTTCTTCACTTGACTTGCAACAAGAAAGTATTCTGAAACTACACAGCCAAACTCTTCTCACAGTGCCAGAGAATGTAACAGAAGCAATGGACAAAATTCCAGTTTGGAAGGTCTGCATTGGACATGAACACGTGCGTGCATGCGTGTGTATCTGAATACTATCAGAGCTTCTGGCTAGGCTATTCCTATCAGACAACATCACTGCTTGAAGACTGATGAAAATAATTTACTACTGTGATATGGTCTCATTGGAAACATTCTGCAACTGCAAGTGGTCAACAAACCATCTTTCAGTTTACAGCTCTGATTCTCGACTGAAAATTTAATTTAAAGAGAGAGTGATTTGTGGGAATCATGGAACATAAGTAAAATGTTTTATCTTCTTATTACTGACAGGTCTTGGAGTAATCATAATTCTTCTCGCCACGATGGTAACCTCAATTACTGGGTTGTCAACTTCTGCAATAGCAACTAATGGGTTTGTCCGTGGAGGTAAAATCTTTAGGGTTAATAATGCTCTCAAGCTCAGAAAGATTTTTATGTACTATTTTCATATGAGGCAAACCAGAGGTCTTGATCTCTATAATAGCAAGAAGGACGATAAACCAAACGATACATCTAAAGGAAGGAGAAGGTAACAATTCTCACCAACCCTAATCACAATTTACAGCATACTTGAGTTGTCACTTTTAACAAATCCCAGATTTCAGTTCAGTCTGTAAAGTACATTTCAGATGTTCCTGCCTAATGCTGATTGAGGAACAGCTTCTGGCTTTTCACTGACTTCTGTTCTTACCTTTCAGCAGGTCATTCTTATTCAGAGCATTTCAGGTTGGATGTCCTTGGACAAACTGAATATGAAGCATCACTTCCTTTTATTTTAAAGACAGGTGATACCAGCTGTTATGCATCAAATACCTTCCTGTATCATTCTTCTTAAAATATTTTATATTTCAGCTACTCCTTGGAAGATGAGTAAACATTTTTGCTGGAAAACCAAAGCTCATGTCAGGTATTTTATAAAGAAAAATTCTAGTGCATTTCAGGGCCTTGAAGGCATGTCTGGTCTGTTCTAGCCTCTGTGGAAAACAGCAAGTTCTTATTACATCATTTAAGCAGAGCAGGTACTTGAATACACTTGAATGTACTTTCTTTTTCGGATCTTTCAGGTCTCGGAGTCATAGTTATTGGTCTGAGTGTAGTAGTAACAACATTAACAGGTATCTCCATGTCTGCCATTTGCACTAATGGAGTAGTGAGAGGAGGTAAGTGAGTATGACTTCATGAAAAGTACAAAAATCTGCAGATCTCAATTAGGAAAGAATAACTAAATAAAATTTGGGGGTGCTCTTTCTCACTGGGCCCACCATAAATTTAAATGTATATAATCTTAAATGCTTCCTGACAATAAGCATTTAGTGTCCTGACAAGTACTTCATCCCAGTGAAACAAGGTAAAATAATTGACAAAGCAATATACTTCATTTATGGGAATAWGCAAAGCAAGATTAAAGATTCACTGCATCACTTTGCAGAAGCTTTATCAATATATAGTACCTCTTTATATCATACAACATGATTTTTCATGCTAACATTGGGATGGATCCAAGTAAGTAGAGCTTGTCTAGGGGTGAGCTTTTCTCTGCTACTGTATCAGGATTATTTAAAGGTCCAATTTTGCACACTAGAATATAGTAAAAAGACTGAAAGATGTTTAGAAAAGGTTCTGAAGGCAGAACCACTACAAAGCATTTTCCTTATCAGTTTGCTGTATTTATTCTTTAGCATTAATAAGGAAAACCTTTATTGCATTTACYAGGCAAAAAGCAGAGACTCCTGTGCTATCGTTATGTGAGTTACACAAGCTGCAACTGAGCATCTTAAATTGTGCTGAATCAAAGTCATTTATGTCTGCAGGTGGAGCTTACTATCTTATTTCAAGAAGTCTGGGCCCAGAGTTTGGTGGATCTATAGGACTGATCTTTGCCTTTGCAAATGCAGTGGCAGTCGCCATGTATGTAGTTGGATTTGCTGAAACAGTCGTAGAACTTCTTAAGGTAAATGCAGATAATTTGCAGTTCATAATTAAACTGGAGATTATTTTTATATTTAAATGTTGATTTTTTTTTTCTCTGAGGATTCAGGGACATCATTAGCAGGGAATCAGGCCTTTCTAAAAAAKGCCACAGAGTGCTTCTCTCTTACCTCTCTTTTATGATAATTTTTCAAACATTTCAACGACAGCCTCAAAATTATAAAAGGAAATAAATCCCTAAACAGTCATATAAACCACCTAGCGACAAAAGGCTAACATGTAATACAAAATCTTGGGCTTATATGCCTCTGAAACTGAGCAAGTTCTGACAACTCACTCTTTTCTATTTCAACTTGATACCTCCAGCTCGTTAAAACAGACTGGTCCTAATAACATTTCTTACCCTTTTCAGGAGAGTGATACAATCATGGTAGATGAGTCCAATGACATCAGAATAATAGGCACCATAACTGTTGTATGTCTTCTCGGCATCTCTGTCGCTGGCATGGAATGGGAAGCAAAGGTAAACCTTTAATATGTAAGCAAGCAGGATGTAGAACTACTTTACAAGGTTTGAACATGAGGAATGTTATACAACACCTGCAATTTTCAGAAGCCCTCAGCTTTAGGTTTTTTTTTTTTTTTTTAAGCAATAGCAATTTAACCATTATATTCAATGAAAGCAAAATAACTCCATGGGCTTTCTTGAACATACACTGAAGAGGGAAGAGGAAGTCTGTGCTCCACAAATGGTTTGAGTTTTTATAATTCATGGCACCAGTTAGAGCCTTGGGTAAATGCTCCTTATTTTTCATGCAGTTATTTTGATGCAGGCCCTTATTTTTGATGCAGTTTGGCAAAATAAACAATAGCAAAAACCAGTCTTACTACTGTACTCTCTCAAACTCAGCCCAGCAAACAGCTCTATTCACTATTCATTCCTTAATCTCTAATGATTTCTGCTATTCTTTCACCTGTACAAAAGTTCAAATCTCTATTATCCTATTGGAAAAAATAGAGAACTGGAAATATTTTAGAGAATGGAAGGCAACTGCCAAAATCTAGTCCAGAATAGCAACTCAATTTTTATATTCTGCTCTGATGGAAAGTTAGAACCATTTGTAAAAGAGGTCAGAAAGCCAACTAGATATTATAACCCCTGAAGCGACAATCCACCCCAACTAAACAAATTATTTAACAATATAAAATGCTTCATACTTGACATGCATTATGCATTAGCTGTTTCATTTTCCTTTTTCCTGTAAAGGAAACTAGCATAAAATTAAATGGTAACTACATCTTTCATAAATCTTCCTAGTAAAAACTGTTTGCTATGGTCATGAGCTGATAGCAGGATGTCTTTTCAGCTATCTTGCTTCCTGGTGTTTTGTAGAACTGTAGAAACGTCATCTGTCWTAACAAAGAAGGAGCACCTATGAATCACCAAGTATATAACCACCTCCACAATCATTGCAAAATAAACCAATCAGTAATATCTTTCTGTTTCTATTAACAGGCTCAAGTTATWCTTCTAGTTGTTTTACTCGTTGCCATTGCAAACTTCTTCATTGGGACAGTCATTCCTACCAACAATGAAAAGAAGGCAAGAGGCTTTTTTAATTACCAAGGTAAGTACTGCTGTCTATTACACAATAAGAAGCTCACACACTTCTTGGCCTCATAATGAGCTGAGGATCCCACTGAAAAAGGTCCCAAGAACATGATCTTCCAAATTTAAATAACCTTGTAAAGCACAGGAGCCAAAGTCTTTTTTAACATCTGTTTCAAGGGACTGAATTTATTCAGTCTTTGAGTTTCTCTCTGCTGCTGAGGCTGACGGCATGGTTAGCAGCAGCTTGAGTACTTCATATACTGGCAGAGCACAGGCAGACTTTTGCACTGAGCTATGTGCAAGTGCTATAGTGACACTCCTGTCACTTCAATATGGATCTGCAGCTCTGATATGCAGACAGGCACATACTACTGGGGACCAGACTGAGAAATCAAATTCATTTTCCTTATAATATGAGACATTCAAAGCCAGTCGTCCATGATGAGATAGACTAGCTTATTCACCTACTTCATTAAGTAATTTTGGAATCAAATCCTGGTGGCATGTTCCATTTTCATCTGTATTTTCAGCATCAATATTCGCAGAGAACTTTGGACCAGCTTTCAGAGATGGAGAAGGATTTTTCTCGGTGTTTGCCATTTTCTTCCCAGCTGCCACTGGCATTCTTGCAGGAGCCAATATCTCAGGAGATCTGGAAGTATGCATTTCTTTAACTTTGTAATACTAGTTACAGGGTGAGAAAGAACAAGAAAACAAATTATTAATCAACATTGTATTCAGTATTAACTCATGGCTAATTTTGGAAAGCAACACTCTTGCTGTTAAGTACTTTTTTTTTATTTGAAAACATCAGTTTTATCTTGTCTCTTTTACTACAGTATGATTATTTACACAGTTTTCTACATTCAGATTTGGTGTTATATCATTTAAAAGAATGTTTTAGTAATCTGCAATAATATAAAATTAATAGCTCATTAGCTGCCTGTTATTTAGAGGAATTACCTATATAGCTCTTCTTTTCTTTTGGCTCTTCTTTTGCCAAATCTCCTGTATCACCCCCAAAAATACACTTCTAAAATTCATGTTGGCACTAAAAAAAAAAAAAAAAAAAAAAAAAAAAATAGGGAAAGTTTTTTTTTTTTTTTTCCTCCTGTGCAGGGTCATAGTAAGGGCAGAATAAACAGAGCATTTAAAGAAGGTAAACATGTTTCAATACCCTATCACTGCCACTGCTCAAAAGAAAAGCTGCAGGTTTGCAGCTGTTAACAAAAGAAAGAAACCTGAGGAGAAAGGAAGGGATTCCCAAATGTCTGGCTTCCCATGCTGTCAAGGGCTCATCTTGCAGTATGGAAGTTTCATGAGATGCTTCTAGTATTTAAACAATCTATAAATTACAGACAGGGTTTTAGTTTTAACCGAGTGCCCTCTAGTTTTCATGGCTTTTCCCAGTGTGTTTAATTCAAAGAGTATTTAAAGATAAATTAACCTCCACATTCACTAAAGCATTTGGTAAAATGTCTCCATTGCATTGCTCCATGTCTACTACTTTGTAGTATTATAAGAAATTCAGATATGCACTTGTGGTGGGCCATGGGACAACTATAATTCCTCAGCTGTCAAAACCTAGTACCAAAAATCAAATATATTCCCCAAAAGAAGTGTCTCACACCCTGTCACCCCTAGCCAGTCAAATGAGGTTATCTGGCTTTATCATAGATACTCATTGTACAGAAATATACCTTAAGAATTCAACCAAAGATCTCATATTTTCATACTGGCACAGCAGTCAGAGGTTCATCAGGATCCTACTAGCTCCAACAATCAGTTTCTCCCTTTCTCACACTGAGTTACCTGATTCAGCTCCTTTGTTTTCAGGAAGTGAGATTGCATTGGAGTTCAAGCACAAAGATGAATTTGTAGAAACAGCTACTAATAGAATCTGTGATGAATTCCATTTTTAATTAAAAAACACATTGTTCTTATGCTCACTGAGACTGAATCAGTCTCACATGATCTCCATCCTTTTATCAAACAAAAATAATTATTTTGCCATTATGGAAGTCTGTGCAAAAGACAAGCTCGCACAGCACCCTCGCCTCTTTCATAAGCGATTTGAAAGAATCTGAGCAGACCAAGGGAACCCATTCTCCCATTCCCTCTCTAATTGCTTTGCTCTGGTAATTAGTAGCCTCAAAGCCAATGCTTCCTGGCTGCAGTTAACTATTGACTATGCTTAGGTTCATTAGACAGGTTTAATGAAATTAATCAATGTCCCCCAAAGCCTAAAACATAAGCTAAGAATTAAAAAGGTGTAAAATAGGCAACCCCAAATTTCTTTTACATCTATTGCAAACACCTACACATTTTCTTCTGCAGCTGTTGTAATTCTGTAGCAGCAGCCTACTACAAAGCTCAGTGACACTAAGAATTAGTCTTACCAGTGACTTCAGCAGGTTTTGGAGCAGGTCATAAAATGGTAACATCGCATTAGATAAATGTTTAATTGTGAACAGAATTTAAAAGTTGTAAAAGTGAAGAAGCTTTAACCTTAACATTTAAGGTTAGTGTTTAACATTGCTGCATAAGGCTGTATGAAAACAGCACCTGAAGACATGCACACCAGAACTGAATAAAGGAAAGTTATCACGATCTGAGGTCAAAAGGTCTTTGCAGCTGAAGTGACTTTGCAATTATTTTTCAGCTCAATAAATCTTTGCCTCGTTTAAAAATGATATTAACTATTAACATAGTTAAGTTATTCATCCATGATTCATACGACTCTTCAAATATATATTTCGTGTTTTTTTCATGAAATAATTACAGTAAAGAATTTATTCCATATATATTTGAGCAAAAAAATTCACTAAATCAATTTAAGAAGAAATTTCACAAAAGAATTGCTTTCTAGTCTAAACAAATATTTACTGAATTGCTAGATTGGTTGATATTAAAAATTCCCTTTAAAATTACAATACATATTGCAGATCTTGGAACCCTCACCTACAGTTGCATGAATGCTGCTGATACTGTGTTAAGTTCATCTAAGAAAATATAATACAGCCTCACCGAAACATCTAAATTTGAAGTCAAAACAGCGAAAGGAACCATCCTGATGTTAAAACACTGCTAACAATTACTAGTTCCTAATCACAAAAGTGCAGTCTTCTGTTCAGAGTGATTGTCTGCAGTTATCTCACTGCTAATGATCTAGTATCTAGTCATCCACAAAGGCATGACAGCTTAGCCTCCTAAACTGCAATTAATGCAGAAGAGCTTTACAGAGGAAGGGTTTCTACCAAAGCCCTACTCTTTTCGAAGTCACAGAAATATTAGTGCTGAGCTAATACGGAAGCATTGGCTGTAGTCTTAGGTCTCAAAGCGGCTACCTGCACAGCTACTACCTGCTGCTGAGGAAAAGGCAGCATGTGGAATGAAAAATCCCATGGCCTGGAAGCAATGAGCAGGCACCCATCTGGCCCACTCTATCAAAACACACAGTTTAGCTCAGTAAAAGCTGAGGCATTAAATGACTAGGAGTTTAAAATAAAGGCTGTTGTGAAGTAAAAAGAACTTTTTCTTGCAAAAAAATACACAGTTCAGAACTCTCCTGCTACTGTAATAGACAAGCACTGCTCCTGCAGGGCTCATGTTTTGCTGCGTTCGAGATATGGGCACTGCACCCCAGAACTGCTTCAGTCCCATTTACCTGTGGGGAACAGGAGATACTGGTACTAAACTAAACAGAAAAGCTGCCCTCTAAAGCCATCTTTATATCGCAGTGTGGCCGTGCTCGCTGGTAAGCAAATGCAAGCAGGGTAAAGCTTGGGAACTAACAGAAGTTTTTGGTCACTCCTTTTTTTTTAAGGATCCCCAAGGGGCAATACCCAAAGGAACAATGCTGGCCATTTTCATTACAACTATTGCTTATATAGGAGTCGCAATATGTGCAGGTAAGTAGTGAACATCTTTCATGTCATATTTAATATAGTTAAAATGTTTTGAAGTCTGATATGCAGATGAATGATTAAATTCACCTCATAGATTTATTAGGTAGTGAGATAATTGTTTTATATTTAGTGTATAAAAGAAAAAGAAAGAAAAGAAACAGATCAACAAAAAAATCATTATTTGGAATTTGCTCTGTTTGAGTCTAGCTCAGAATAGAAAAAGGATTTCTTTAAAACTTGTAGGTTACTTTTGCATTTGATTCGATGATAAAGACCACTAGCACAAGGTATCCAGTAGTATAATAAATATTAAAAGAACTGTTGATCTCTTGTTCCTAACTCACACCAGAAGCTCAGATAGCTTCTGCTTACTCTTCACTAGCCTTACGGAGTGCTTGTGAGTGATGGGGTAATATATATATGTTGTATGTCACATGTCAAAGACAGAAGTCAACTACTTCTCTGGAAGAAGGTGCGCTAGGTCACAAGTTACTCTGCAATACTAGAATGTCAGATAACAAAAGGGATGCAATCATAAAAAGAGATCAGTAGTGAAGCTTTACCTCTGTTAGAGGAACATGTAATTAAAGTCTGATTATAAGGGTACAATAAATCTCTGTTCAAGAAATAAATGTTCAAGAAGAACGTTCTTTTTTCTGTATTAATAATGCTGCAAGAAATAGTGCTGCAAATGGCAATCTTCATTACAAGCAAACACCTCAGTACACTATATTCTCAGAGTACTCCCTTTTACAGGATATGAATCTCAAATTTTCTTGACTTCTGTGGTCTCTGTACCTTATGCAAAAGGCAGCGAGCTCAAGTCAAATTTCAGCTCAGGTTACTGCATTGTTTGGATCTAAATTTCCCCTGAAGTTTCAGTTGAAGCAGACATTCATCACTTGCTTTCTAAACCTGTGTTAATGTATTGTTCTATTCTCATAAGCAACACCTATATGTCAGCCTTAGAGCTGGCTGCTTTTCAATGCAGTAACAATGTCAATGGAAAGAATCAAAGTATTGTAAGAATATTCTCCTGGTATYACAAGTAAGAAAAATGATAATACACTGTTGTTTCTACAGCCTCCTGCGTTGTACGAGATGCTACTGGGAACGTCAACGACACAGTTGTATCTGGAATGAGCTGTAATGGATCATCTGCCTGCACCCTGGGCTATGATTTTTCCAGATGCAGAAGTCAGCCATGTGATTATGGGCTGATGAATAATTTCCAGGTTTTAATGAGATTAGATACATAATCTAAGCAATGCATGAATGCATAAATATAAACAAGCATAAAACAATCAACTAGAACAGAATGTCCACTGTTACCTAAAAAGATCCAAAAGCTATAGAAATAATCAAAGGGAAAAGTCTGCTGCATTCCCAGTTACCTTCCTACTACCTGCCAGGAACCCTCCCAGCCTTCTGCTAAGGCTTTTACTTTCTCTTTCAACAAATATCATGTAGCAATATATGCTGCAACCTCAAGTTCATAACAGGGACCTCAGGAACTCCTGCCAGATAAGTGACTCATCTGACTGTTCCTTACACGAGGGGATGATTTCACCTTAGGAGTGCTGCAGTCACAGTTAAGAGTTTGTGCCATACTACTGAAACCAGAATAATTCTTCTACAAGAAAGGTATCCAAGAATACTGACCGTAAAATACAGTGAAAAGCGAAGAGGTCTT